GCTTACTCCTTGGAAGGAAAGTTATGACCAACCTAGACAGCATATTAAAAAGCAGAGACATTACTTTCCCAGCAAAGATCCGCCTGGTCAAGGCTATGGTTTTTCCAGTGGTCATGTATGGATGTGAGAGTTGGACTGTGAAGAAGGCTGAGCACCAAAGAATTGATCCTTTTGAACTATGGTCTTGGAGAAGACTCCTGATGGTCCTTTGGACTGCAAGGAGATCCAAGCAGTCCATCCTAAAGGAGATCAGTCGGGTGTTCAATGGACGGACTGATGCTGAAGGTGAAACTGCAATACTTTGGCCACCTCATGAGAAGAGATGACTCATAGGAAAAGACCCTGATGCTGGGAGGAATTGGGGGCAGGAGGAGAAGGGGACGACAGAGGATGAGATGGCTGGATGGCATCACTCACTCGATGGGCATGGGTTTGTGTAGACTCCAGGAAGTGGTGATGGATAGGGAGGCCTGGCGTGCTGCGATTCATTAGAGTCGGACACGACTGAGCGACTGAACTGAACTGAATGCAGATGGGGCGGGGGGGGGGGGGGCGGATTTTGTCCTTTCTTCCTCCTTGAGAATTCCAGATCCCTCTCTCCTTGGGGACCCATGGACCTCCTATCAACCTGCCTAGATACTGACACGCTCATTCCTTCCTTTTCTTTTAGGAAAATTATGCTTCCAAGGGAAAAGGACATTGTTTTCATTCCATAACTACTTCTGCTGTTTAGGGGCATGGTCCCTAAATTGTTGAGATAACATATTCTCAGTTAAGTAGAAACTCTAATATAATTTTCTGCTGCCGCTAAGTCACATCAGTCGTGTCCAACTCTGTGCGACCCCATAAACAGCAGCCCACCAGGCTCCCCATCCCTGAGATTCTCTAGGCAATAACACTAGAGTGGGCTGCCATTTCCTCCTCCAATGCGAGAAAGTGAAGTCACTCAGTCATGTCCGACTCTAACGAACCATATGGACTGCAGCCTACCAGGCTCCTCCATCCATGGGATTTTCCAGGTAAGAGTACTGGAGTGGGGTGCCATTGCCGTCTCTGATATACTTTTCTGGGTCCTCTAAATAGTCTCCCAGATCCTCCTTGATTCTTTATATTTCTTGATAAGAAAAGGGCTTATTAACTCTCATAGACTGATTATTTCTCCCGACGGCTGTTTCATGAAGAGGCAACAGCTTGTGTGGCTGTCCTCCCCCTCTCTGGCTGCTCTGTGCATACGATCCCAGGGACAGATTGGAGAAACCTGCTTTTTTTTATCTGTTCCCTGTCCTCGATCTCATCCTGTATTTCACCCTTAGTTTTTGCTGTCTGAGGTTCTCTTACTTTGGTGGTGTGAGGTCATATTGAAACCAGAGCAGTCTGAGATTGTACTGGGATAGGAGTTGTTTGGACCTCTACTTGGGCCATTTGAACCTCAGTTTGGGTTTTTACTGAGACCAAGGCAAACCTTCCTGGGGTGGGGGGTATGGGGCGGTTCCCTGACTTTCAGTTTGCTTAGGTGGGAGTCCCGGGTATGGGGGCAAAGTAGGAGGACAGGAGGGAGCTGGAGGTTTCACAGTCAAATCTATACTCTTAGGACATAAGTCCGGCATACCTCACAGTGAGAAAAAGGGCAACACATATGCTACTTCTACCCATTTCCCCTGTTTTCTACAGAACCGGTCTAATTGTAAAACAGTACTATAATTAAGAGACCCTCCAACTGGCCACCAATTGCCATCCTCCAAGTATTCTGTGGCCATGCAGTATCACATAGCAAGATCAGGCGTGTCTTCTTTAAGCCCTGGGGATCAAACCTATCCCAGGTTTTCAGGATACAGTTCACAGGAGTGAGGCTGCAATAGTTAGCTCCCATCTGTAAGAGAGAAAAAAAGTGACTGGCGCCATCTTTCTACCAGAGGTGTCCCTCCCTGCTCTAGATCAGGATGTAGACAGACTTTACTCCAAAGCTTTCCTTCCTTGGTCGGACCTAGTCTGTCCCTTACCGATGCAGGCGTCACACTCATCCCTCCCGGTTTTACCACAGAGACGGGGTGGAGATGCACCAGGGGCAGACCTGATGGCATCCCTGACTGACGTCCAGCTCCTCGCCATTAAAACCTTGCTTGCCTCTGATGCCACCTGGGGTGCCATCAGAGTAACCTTCCAGAATGCCTCCCAATCTAAGACCTCTGGGGGAAACTATCGTCACCTGAGTGCGTGTGCACAACCCTGACTATATTCCTGACCACAATAAGACTGGTACAAACATAAAACTGAGATGTTCCTTCCAAGCATCACCGCACCAGTTTAAGCAATAGCAAAAGAGATGGAGAAGGGCTCGCCAGTGAGGAAGAAGTGATTTTTGTTCTTGAATTATTAGGGCCCGTCCTTCCAGCTCATTCCCATTCCACAGAAAGAACAAGGAGTTGGGACAAAAGCTCCTGGAAAGCGGCCTCTGGTCCACTAAGAGCTAGTGTTACCACAGGAAGAAACCCATTGCACTTCCAATCTCAGTAACCGTTATCCTCAGAGATACTCTTGGAGCTAGAGCTCCATCTAGCTTCCTGACTTCCCATACCTAGCGAAGCTAGGCGCTTCCTCACTTTCCATTCCTAGCAAAGCTAGGCGCTTCCTGACTACCAGTCCAAGTTGGGGAGTGAAAGTAACACCACACAGTAACCAGATCACAAGTCCCTTGAAAGTCTAGGATTTGACAGATAGGTTAATAGTTCTAATTCCTAAGAAGTCATGAAACGGTCAAAGAGACTGGAAAGTTTGACCGAGAAAGGAGAGTTCGGTCCACACGCTTTGCCCATTTCTAGTCAGTGCCCAAAAGAGACATTGGCTGCATCTTGTCATTGGCACGTCAGTATAAACCCCCAACAGGTTTCTGCCCTAAGGCATATGAGGTCACCGAGGGTCCGCAGAGCAGGCCTCCTCGCTTGCTACACGAAGGGAATCTCGTTCATTCACACAAGCACACTGCAGAGTTAGTGAAGTGTAGCAGAAATGTGTTCACTAGACTACAAACAACCAGCGCTCCAAGCATCCTCACCTTGTCCTGAAGAATCCCGGACGAGCGCCCAAGATGAAAGATTGCTGTGAATCCATGAAAGACACCTGGATTCTTGGCCTCCTGAGGAGAATTCAATCCAGGGCCAGAGACGAGGCTTAATAGTTCAGAGCTTTTGTGTAACAGTTTTCTTAAAGTATAAAAGAGATAGAGAAAACTTTTGACATAGACATCAGAAGGGGCAGAAAGAATGCACCCTCACTAGTGTTAGCAATGGAGTTATATACCTTTAATTAGTTATTACAGTGAATCAAAAGAATTTCTGAAGGTTGTAAAGACCTCACTAGACCCACTCCAATAATTTACCTTTAAAGATCACATTATTCTCCAGAATTTTTTTTCTCCAGAGACTGTTATCAAGCAGGATACATTATTGTAGAGGCAAAAAGAAAAACGCTTTTTCTTTCGAGAATTCCAGATCCCTCTCTCCTTGAGGACCCCGGACTTATCAACCTCCCTAGAAACTGACTCTCTCAGTGTGATTGAAGGGGGGCCTGTGAATAGACCCTGGGGTTCAGCAAGACTGCTGGTCTCAAGGAAGATGTTCATCTAGTGCAGGTGCTCACAGGACTGACTTGTGTGAGTTCAGGGACCTGCAGGTTACCTGCTCCCCAGACAGATGCTGAGGCAGCAATAGCATGGAGCAGTTTAGGGAAACTGTCAACAATACTCTGTATAATCCTTCTTATTTGAACCATCACAGTATCTAAGTAGTTGAAAAATGGGAGAAGAGATACAACACAGAAATGAGGGAATATATGAAGTTATGAGAAGTTTAAAGCCAGTGAGTAAATTAATTTCCACATATGCCATCTCTCTGTGTTACCAAAGAGTTTGTTGTGGTCTCTTCACTACAACCTTAAATAAGGTGGGAGAGGTTACTGTTGCTGGTGGGTTAACATTTCATTCATTACAATCAACCGAAACACTAAAAGCCAATCACTGGTATTAATAACCACGTGTTAATTTAACACATATTTGAAATAAAACCTTTTACAAGCCACGGCATGATCCATGATTAAATACTGATCAAAAGTACAGAGAGAGATATTAATCTTTCTGTTATAATGATGTGAGATTTGTGATTTTCATGGCTTACCAAACAAAGCCTAGGAAGCACTTAGCAAGCATGGTATGCACTAATTCCATGCCTTATCCAGGAAGGGTTTCTAATACATTTATAGGTTGTAACAGAAGCTGTCTTTATTTCAACACTGTCAAGTAATATTCATGACTTGCGTTGATATTATAAAGATACATCAATATTGCAGTGAACTGTCATTGTGTTCTTCTTACAAATCAACGACATTACCATTGAAACTTTACCAGCAACTTCTGTTTTACTTTAATACATGGAAAGATTAAAAGATCACTGACATCATGGCAACTTCCAGATATTTCACATCAATGACAGACACCTCCATTTAGATGGTCACTGTCCATTCTACATCATGGTACCTGTCATCTTCTAATCGAGGATAGACAGAAATGGTTGCAACACAATATGAAAAGGCTAATCTTTAATAAACCACCAAAAACCTAGGTTTGCAAACACACTAGAAAGAAGGCATAGTATGGATTATTTGAGTGCTGAGTTACATTCACTTCAAATAATCTCAGTTCATGTCATTATAAACAAGCATACATACTTTGCTAAGAATTGGAACGTCCTAACCATCAACGTTCATCTCATGATTCATGCTAATATATCCATTTTCTATGTGTTTAACTATGGAGTACTCCCTACAGTCATTCTCCTGCAGAGAAAATTCAGAAAAGAGGATTGATGACATGCCTTCTAGTATGTAATCCCTGATATTAATTTCAATTTAACATTTGATTAAATACCTTTTGACATATTTGTTACATCATCTCCATAGGTTTCTTATATAAACTCTTGTGTTTTCTGAGGCATGTTTAGGGAAAACCTATTCCATCACATGTTCCATTACTAGGGTTTCTCTCCAGTGTCTTCTGAGATGTTTAGCGAGATGACCACTCTGACTAAAAGCTTTGCCACATTCTGTACATTTATAAGGTCTCTCTCCAGTATGAATTCGCTGATGTTTAGTAAGCGTTGAGTTGCGACCAAAGGCTTTGTCACATTCAGTACATTTATAAGGTCTCTCTCCGGTATGCACTCGCTGATGTTGAGTAAGAAGTGAGAGACGAGGAAAGGCTTTGTTACATTCTTTACATTTATGAGGTCTCTCGCCAGTATGAATTCGCCGATGTTGAGTAAGCGTTGAGTTGTAAGCAAAGGCTTTGCCACATTCAGTACACGAATATGGTCTCTCCCCAGTATGGATTCGCTGATGTTTAGTAAGACTAGAACCCTTAATAAAAGCCTTGCCACATTCTCTACATTTATAACATCTATCCGCGGTATGAATTTGGTGATGTTGAGTAAGGGCCGAATTCGTAATAAAGGCTTTGCCACATTCTTTACATTTGTATGGTTTCTCCCCATTATGGATTCGATGATGTACAATTAACTCTGAATGACAAATAAAGGTTTGGCCACACTCTGCACAACGATAAGCTTTCTCTCCAGTATGAATTTGCTGATGTTGGGTAAGATGTGAGCAACGGATAAAGGCTTTGTTACATTCTTTACATTTATAAGGTCTCTCTCCAGTATGAATTCGCTGATGGTAGGTTAGAGATGAGTATTGAATAAAGGCTTTGTTACATTCTTTACATTTATAAGGTCTCTCTCCAGTATGAATTTTCTGATGTTGAGTAAGATGTGAGCACTGAAAAAAGGCTTTGTTACATTCTTTACATTTATAAGGTCTCTCCCCAGAATGAATTCGCTGATGTCGAGTGAGAAGTGAGCGACTATGAAAGGCTTTGTTACATTCTTTACATTTATAAGGCTTCTCTCCAGTATGAGTTCGCTGATGATCCATTTGTTGTGAGTAACAGACAAAGGCTTTGCTACATTCTGTACATTTATGTTTCTCTCCAGTATGAATCCTCCGATGTTGAATAAGACTTGAATTGTAAGTAAAGGCTTTGCTACATTCTGTGCATTTATAAGGTTTCTCTCCAGTATGAATTCGATGATGTTGAGTAAGAATTGAGTGACGTTTAAACGCTTTGCTACATTCTGTACATTTGAAAGGTTTCCTTCCTGTATGAATTTTCCTATGTTTATTTAGATTGGATGGCTTACTAAACACTTTCCCACATATCTTACACTTGTTTTCTTTCTGTGGATTCTGAACAGTGTGCTGTTGAATAAGTTCTGAAGACTGACTAGAAACCTTACCATATTCAGTACAAGTCCTCTCTTCAGTACAAGTACTCTTATCGAGAGAAAAACCTGACATTTCATCAAAGGCATTTCTACATTTATTACTTCTAGAATCCTTGTTTGAAGATTCGGGTCCCTGATGATTCTTAAGGCTGGAGTTTCCTTCAACCGTATACCCAGGTTCATTGCCTGAATACCTTCTCAGTCCACCAAAAATACTCTTGTAATTATTGGAGCTGGAGCTCTTACTTAAGGTCTGACTCATTTTATTGCACATGCAATGTTGTTGTGTATTAACCTTATCACAATATGTATTCAACAATGATGGTTGCATTGCATCTCTTCCATTATCATCAACATTATATATCTTGGAATGGAGAGAAAATATTTGTTGGGGGAAGAAAAATGAGCCCCTGCTCACAGGTCCCTCAAATTGACTAGATTGTGTGTTTTCCCACTCACTGTTAAATTGCAGGTGTTCAGACATGCTTGAATGTATGTTTAGTCGAAACCTAGGTTCAGAATTGTCTGAATGAGGATTTGCACTAGAGACTAGATTACCTTCCAGATTTTCCACACTTCCTTTTAGAGAACATGTATGTTTCAAAAAGGGATGGAAATCTTTTCTTAAACACGTACACGTCTCGGCAGATGTGGAAAACTGAAGTGGGTGTTTTTCCCAATTTGACTCACATTGCTCATTTCTTTTTGCAGTAATGTTAGCATTCTGCATGACTGTCTCCATTTCTTTATGTCCGTATATGCATTCTCTCTGTCTTTTATATACTTTCGTATATTCCCAGGCTTTCATTAAATTTAAGTTTCTGAGGTGAAATATTTGACATATTCCTAGGCTTGCTTTTGGGAATACATCTTCTAACGTTGGATTCTTCGGCATCAAATCCTGGGTGTCCTGTGGAGTCATAGCTGAAAGATACCAAATAACAAATAATTTTACCTGCTATTCTCAGTGAATACATTTAAAGATTTAGAGAAAATTGATGAACATTAGCTAGTTTAAAAATAAAACAGAGATGGAAGGATCAAGATGCCAGAGGCATAGGTAGATGTGGACATCATCTCTCTCTCCACAAATGAAAGAGAAATGGAACAATTCTCACAGAGCCCAGCTGAACACTAGCAGAGACCCCTCGAAATCTAAAGAAACAAGAAAGATTCCTGCTGAGTCAGGTAGGACAAGAGAAAGAAGAAGGAAAAGGAACAGGAGAGGAAGTGGGATGGGGCCTGCAACCCTGTGGGGAGATGAAAGTGAGAAGAGGACTCCACATTAGGGGACTCAGTTTGGACAGGAGAGCCTCATTCTCTGTGGAAGAGGACATGGCAACCAGTGTGTGGCAACACGACAGAGTGAGACCTGCACACGGGGTCCTGACCCCTGCTCTGCCCACCCAGCCTGAGAGGCACGTCCACCACTGCAGACAAGGGCTGGGTGCTGAAATGTGGGGCTCAGAGTGCAGACTAAGGCAAAGGATTGAGGATGGCTGTGAGGAAACATCCTGAAGGGATGGGACTGTGGGAGGAGCTCTGCAAATGGGATGCTTGTGGTGGAAGCCTGAACCACCAAAGAGCAGAGTGGCACTGGAGACTGACGCCCAATGAAAAAGCCCATTGCATCCCTTATCCTTTGTGCCAGCTTGTCCTTGCAAGGGACTATGAAGAACTCCACCCATGTAGGTCTTTTGAGTCCCCAGCCACGGCCTCCCCATCGACCTCCTCCACAATCAGCAGACTCCTGTGCTCTGGGGCAGCTCAGGAGAAGACACCTGTGAGTTGCCCACACGCTCAGATGGAGCTGAAAGCACAGCTGAGCCCAGGGATGAAGAAGAAAAGCTGACACCTCTCCCTGCAGCAACAGAAGCCACGGTCTCAGACCCACGACTGGCTGTGTAACCTCAGCCCCTACAGAGCATCTGATTCACCTAGCAGCGCTCTCTCAGTCACGGCAGGGGGAGCTCTAGCTGCTGTAGACTCTGTGGGCTCCCACACAAGGGGGCTGAGCCAGGACAGAGCCTGAGCTGCCCCAGAGCACCACAGAGGGTCCAGCTCCACGTTGAATGCAATCCCAGGACCTGACTTCACTGAATCTATGCTGGTGACCTTGTGAAAACATCTGCCAGACACCAGGGTGATGTGCCATCATGCCCATGGTTAAGGTGGGGCCAAGAGCAGTGCCTACACTACATCACATGAGAGCCTGCAGAACACGAGAGGGGGAACCAGAGCACAGCCTGAGTGAACATCCCCAGAGGACTAATACTCAGTGACTTTTCTCCATGTGTGGGTGCTCCAGTCCCACCTGCCTCACACCACAGATCAGAATCACAGCTAAGATTCAGGTCTGCGGGCTCTATTCCACCACACAGGGAGCAGGCACCACCAGAGAGAGGGCAGTAACAACCACAGAACAATGAGGAAACAACCCTGAATATCTACAGCAGGCTCTGGTCACAGTTAACAGCAATCAAAGCCCAGATCAAGAGGATGAGGGCACAAACCTCGGGACCAACCTCACCCACCAAGGTGCAGACACCAGAAGGAAGACTAACGAGGTTCCTGTAGTCTTCAAAACAGAGACCACAGACAGAACGCTGGACAAAATGAGATGGCAAAGAAATAGGTTACAGGGCAAGAAACAAGATAAAAACCTCAAAGCACCAGTGAATTAAGTGGAGTTAGGCAATCTAATGATTACTTCCTGCTTTTAGTCATCTTAAGTGGAGACACCAAACACTTTCACAAATCCTAGGTGCCTAATAATTCATAAATGGACTTCTTGCCTCACATGTTTATGAGAATAGTCTATTAGGTGCTTCAGTCTAAAAATCATAAGTGAAAGTGACAGAGAACTAATCAGAAACTGAGGACACACAAGACAGTGTCTAAGGAAGCTGAATACAAAGAAGATAAACTTAATAAAGTACTAGTTTTAAGGAATAAATAAGAAGAGAGACTTTAAAACTATGACTGAAACAGGGAACTCTACTCATTGCCCTGTGAAGACCTAAATGGGAAGGAAATCAATAGAACGGTAAAGACTAGAGATCTCTTTAAGAAAATGAGAGGTACCAGGAATATTTCCAGCAAAGATGGGAACAGTAAAGGACAGAAACGGGATGGCCCTAAAAGCATGAGAAGATATTAAGACAACTTGGTGAGAATACATGGAAGAACTATACAAAAAAGATCTTAATGTCCGAGATAACCACGATGGTGTAATCACTCAGCTAGGAACAGACATCCTGGCATCCAAAGTCAAGTCGGCCTTAGAAGGCATGACGATCAACAAAGTCAGTGCAGGTGATGGAACTCTAGCTGACCTATTTCAAGGCCTAAAAGAGGATCATGCTAAAGTTCTGCACTAGATAAGCCAGCAAATTTTGAAAAGTCAGCAGTGGCCTCAGGACGGGAAAAGGTCAGTTTTCATCCCAATCACAAAGAAAGGCAATGCCAAAGAACGCTCAAACTACTACACAATTTCCCTTATTTCAAACAATGGCAAAGGCTCAAAATTCTCCAAGCGAGGCTTTAACAGTACATGAACCAAGAGCTTCCAGATGTTCAAACTGGATTTAGAAACACCAGAGGAACCAGAGGTCCAATTGCCAACATCCCTTGGATCACGTAAAAAGCAAGAGTGTTCTGGAAAAACAACTACATCTGCTGTATTGACTACACCACAGCCTTTGATTGTGTGGATCACAAGAAACTGTGGGAAATACCTAAAGAGATGGGAACACCAGACAACCTTGTCTGCCTCCTGAGAAATCTGTATGCATGTCAAGAAGCAACAGTGAGTACTGGACATGTGACAACGGATGGATTCCAAATTGGGAAAGGAGTACGTCAAGGCTGTATATTGTCACCCTGCTTATTTAACTTATATGTACAGCACATGATGCGACATACCAGGTTGGATGAGGCACAAATTGGAATCAAGATTTCAGGGAGAAATATCCATAACCTCAGATATACAGATGACACCACCCTTACAGCAGAAAGCGAAGAGGAACTGAGGAGCCTCTTGATGAAACTAAAAGAAGAGGGTGCAAAAGCTGGCTTCAAATGCAACCTTCAAAAAACGAAGATCATGGTACCGGTCATACCCTTTCATGCAAACAGTGGGAGAAACAATGGAAACAGCAACAGACTTTATTCTTTTGGGTTCCAAAATCACTGCAGATGGTGATTACAGTCATGAAAGTAAAAGACACTTTCTCCTTGGAAGAAAACCTATGACCAACCTAGGGAGCATATTAAAAAGCAGAAACATTACTTTGCTGAAAAAGGTTCATGTTGTCAAAGCTATGGTTTTTCTAGTAGTCATGTATGGATGTGAGAGTTGGACCATGAAGAAAGCTGAGTGCAGAAGAATTGATGCTTTTGAACTGTGTTGTTGGAGAAGACTCGTGAGAGTCCCTTGGACTGCAAGAAGATCACACCACTCCATCCTAAAGGAAATCAGTCCTGGATATTCATTGGAACGACATGGTGAAGCTGAAGCTCCGATACTTTGGCCACCTGATGCAAAGAACTGACCCACTGAGAAAGACCCTGATGCTGGGAAAGATTGAAGATGAGAGGAGAAGGGGACAATACAGGATGATATAGTTGGATGGCATCACTGACTCGATGGCCTAGATTTTGAGCAGGCTCTGGGACTTGGTGATGGACAGGAAAGCCTGGCTTGCTGCAGACCAAGGATCGCAGACTCAGACTCGACTGAGTGACGGAACTGAACTGACTGATATGTATAATTGGTTCTCTTTGCTGTATAGGAGCACACAATTGGAAAACAGCTATATTCCATTTAGAACTTTTAATAAAGATTTCTTTATATAACCTAAAAATTGTTATAGTTCGAATCAACCATTAATAGTATAGTGGAATATGTGCTAAGAGTTTATGTCAATTTATTTGAAAATCCTATGAGGTAAAAGAATATAATAAAGTATTTTAGCAAGTTATAATTGGATCAAATACACTAAAGATATTTACTATGAGATCATAAAAGTAAAAGAGAAACTTTGAAGTCAACCTGAGATGTACATTCTTTCATTTTCACGAGGTTTTGCTTTCTGCAGTGACAAATTACTTGAATTTGAAATTTATTTAGAAGGTCCTATGTGTCACTCCCAGGGGATAGGAAATTATAAACCAGAGAACAAAAACCCATTCCCAGTATTCCTAGAAGTTTGGCAGTTTGTCTACCACTCCACTCACACATTTCTGTCCAGAGGTAGAGGGAAACTACCTCTGAAAAGGACTGTCATACAGTTACTCAGAAATGGGCAGTTTTCCTAGGGCCCCCAAGAAATTGTAGAGCAACTAATGAATGCAGTTTGTCACAAGCCAAGAGGAGACTTTTAGTTCACACTGTGGTGGAGAAAACTAATCACTGGAGATGAATTCATGAATGATTTAAGACACAGAATGGGGCAAGTGATACATTTCTATGACAGTAGCAGACACAAATCCAGGTTTTCAAAAACCATTTCCATTGAAGCAAATCTTCCAAAGCCATGTGATGAAGGATGAGTTCCTCACTGCTCCTTGGACCACTCATCTGAGTCTTCACCTCCATCCATTCACACCTACCTGGGTAATTGGTTGTTGTCTCCACTCTCTTTATATTCCTGGGATCCTTCAATTGTTCCAGAAAGGTGACCAGGTCCAGCTTAGACACAAGCCCTGTGGATCAGAGAAAGGAAAATTTGTGTTGTTAGAGATTCATCAGTATCAAATCCAACATGTATTCAGGTGAGACGACAACGCATTTTGTCCTAGAAAACATTTCCGGAAATACTTTATTCAAAGCCGCTATATAATACTAACAAACACCTAACAATCAGATCCTGAGATTCCGGTCAAGTAGTACTAAGGCAAATGTAAGTAGTATTGATGTGAAATTAAGAGAGGGTACAACTATTTAATGCCACAGAACTTACACAATTACCACTAACCTAGAATGAACGAGGCAGAAGGAAGAAAAACGTCACCAGCATAACGAATCATCATGAATCATCACTTTTCTTCCTAAACTCACAAATACCCATTTTCCCCTAGAAAGCAGAGATCTGGAACTACTGTGGGAAGCAGAAAATGTCAGAAAACATTCTTGAAATGACAGAACCAAAACCCAGTGGGTGGATAAGGGATTCTGGAAGGCAATCATCCTCACCCAAGGAGGCCAGGTTTGCGTAGTTCTCTACCAACACGTCCCTGTATAATTCCCGCTGACCGAGGTCCAGGCATTCCCACTCCTCTTGAGTGAAGTCTATGGCCACATCCTGGAATGTCAGCCGTCCCTGAAATACAAAGTACAGAGGGCATGTAGCCGTGGGAAGACTTCCTTATGTGACCCAAGGTGAAAACAGCAACTTCAGAGACCTGGTCATGACTTAGTGGCTTGGCTGGTATTACAAAATATATTTTTTACACAGTAATCCTTTCTACCCAACTTCTAATGTGAAGAAAAGAGGATGAGTTATGATCCACAAGCCATTAAAGAAACTATTCTCATCTAGAAGAGAAATTATAAAATCATCAGGGCAATATTAGCATATTTATTTTTCAGTATTCTACCCGTGTGACATAGGATAAATTTTTATTTTTTTTTCCATTTATTTTTATTAGTTGGAGGCTAATTACTTTACATCATTGCAGTAGTTTTTGTCATACATTGAAATGAATTAGCCATGGATTTACATGTATTCCCCATCCCGGTCCCCCCTCCCACCTCCCTTTCCACCCGATCCTCAATTTCTAATGTGAAGAAAAGAGGATGAGCTATGATCCACAAGCCATTAGAGAAAGTATTCTCATCTGGAAGAGTAATTATAAAATCATCCGGGAAATATTAGCATATTTATTTTTCAGTGTTCTACTCCTGTGACATAGGGTAAATTGCTTATGAAACAAACAGGAAAAAAAAAATTTTAAGTGTATTCTGAGCCAAAAGTTCTGAAGTGGGGCCAAATGCCACATTTTTAGCAAGGTTATTTGAGTTAGTAATGTTGAAAATTCTGCTGATGAATGATGATTTTGAACCGCAAGGAAATAGAATAGTAAGGTAAGAATTCATAGTTAAGTTGGAACTGTAATTGTTTTACAGATTTTAACAAGTCTAATAGGATAGTAACCCTTCTCTTGGTCTGGGCTCGGGCTGGGAAAGAATTTCCAGACATGAGACAAAATGCAAGGAAAATAAAGTTTATTAGAATGGGGGACGCTGTTAGAACAGCAGGCCAGCTCAAATGAGACCGGATGTTGAACAGGGGTCCTCAGTCCACTTTCTTTTTCTTTTTCTTTTTTTTTTTTTAACTGAACAAACTATTTATTAACACAACGTCCACACATTGTTTCTTCTTGGGCACACCCCCACTGCGACCACGGCGTCCTGTGGTCTTGGTGTGCTGGCCTTGGACCCGAAGTCCCCAGAAGTGGCGCAGCCCCTGTGGGCCCGAATCTTCTTCAGTCGCTCCAGGTCTTCACAGAGTTTGTTGTCTAGACCGTTGGCCAGGACCTGGCTCTATTTTCCATCCTTCACGTCCTTCTGTCTATTTAAGAACCAGTCTGGGATCTTGTATTGGCGTGGATTCTGCATAATGGTGATCACACGCTCCACCTCGTCCTCGGTGAGCTCTCCTGCCCTCTTGGTGAGGTCCATGTCTGCTTTCCTCAACACCACATGAGCATAGCTTCGCCCCACACCCTTAAGTGCAGTGATGGCAAAGGCAATTTTCCGCCGCCCATCGATGTTGGTGTTGAGTACTCGCAAGATGTGCTGAACTTCTCAGGGATTACTAGAGACATGGCGGCGGCCCCAGCGGTGGCGTGTAGGCCTCCAGTGGAAGAGAAAACTTAGTCCACTTTCATAGCCAGGGTACAAGGAGTGGGATAGGGGTCTTGTGGATCATTTGCTGAATTGATGTGGCACATATACTAGGTGGGGGGCAGAGTAAGAAAAATACATTCTCCCCCCCCCCCAAGAAAAAGAAAAATACATTCTCCTTATGGGGTAGGAGAGGAGACAGTTTATGCTGCTCAGAAGGACCTGCAATCCATCAATAGTTACAACATGGGTCAGGGAAAGATCCTAAGGGTCTTGTTTTTCCATTCCTGCATTCCAAGACCCTCCTTGGTTTTATCTACTCTTTTGTCCCTGGGTCACCACATACCTCCCTCTCTTTATTTTTAAGGCCAGTTCTTTGGCCCCTGTTAATACCCTGCTCATGTCTAACTATCTACCCATTTCCCTTCTCAAGCATTTTGGATTCCAGTTTCAAGGAAAAAGGGGCGATGACCGCTCGGGCTTTCTCAGGCTGAGCAGAGGTGCCATGGGAATCTGAGTTCCCTTTGCCTACTCTGTTAGGGTGCATTTATGGAGGGCGATGAGAGTCCATGGAATGATAAGGTGCCTTGTTTCCGCATTGTCTAGGTGTTGGTCAGGGAATATTCTTGCATTACCACTTTGAAATGTGTGGTATTTTAGAGGAAACAAACTTTACAAGAAAGTTAAAGGTACATGGCCCAAAGATTAAAAGAAGTAGAAAAGCTGCTCATGGGCTACCCAGGAGAACCAGAACTGGACATCAGTTCATGACATTAGTGTTTCTCTAGGTACAAGAAGAAGCAAGANAACTAATGCTGACTTACTTTACCAAAGTAGCAAAAGATTTTAAAAATGAATATAAATCACTTAAATGCAAAGAAATTCATAATGTCTTCTTGAAAGCTGCATTGTAAGAAACCTCTATTCTATTAGCATAGAAAGTAGACTAAATTACAGTCTGGTACCAACTTACCAGAGAGCAAACAAAACTTGTTCATTGGTTAACCTTAGAAAAATCTTTTCCATAAATCATGAAGTAGCAGTATTCTTACAAAGGCATCAGAGTGAAACCATAGAAGGTATGTTTAAATCTGATTAAACTGCAATTGACAATGTAGCTTGGTCATTGCTGTGACTTGTTAACACTTTAACAGGATAACTAGAATTATAGTTGACCACATTTTATTAGGGCATATCAGAGCTATATGAATGCCACATAATTTTAGGATATCTATATTAGTAACATCCACCATATAGTATAATCTGAGAAGATTTATCACCCCTTCAACAGTACTTTCCATGTAATTTAACATGTCCAATGAACCCAGGTAGTTTAATAACTCCCTGGGATGCCTCAGGGGCCCTCTGAAGCATTCCAAAGTCAGGTAGAAGTTAAGTTATTTAGGAAGTTTTGTTGACAAATATCAAAAGGGGTTATAACAGTCAGATAAAATCATATAGATCACTCAGAAACATTATATTCACTTAGCCAAAGTAACAAAGAAGATTTCAAAGGTAAACATAGATCACTTCAGAGGTAAAGAAACTTAAAATCCATCATCAAAGGCAGCCCAACATCTCAAGAAAACTTGTATTTATGAACAAAACTCTTCCCTTGGGGTCCACTTTCCATGAAACCTTCTTATCAGTTTCCGTACCCATTACTTTGTTCTCCCACCCTGAAACGGCCACCTGTAAGTCAGACCTACTTCCTTTACCCTTCATAAAATATAATTTCATTCCTCATACCTTCTTTACTGAAAATATACACCCTACTTTCCTTAAGCAACCAAGAACTTAAGCATTCTGTACATTAGTGTACATAAATACCAGTGATAAGTTCTAAAAAAAAAAAAAAATTCTAGAGAACATCTCAGGATGACTCAAGCATTATTCATGAATAGTCCAAAATCTCTAGTTTCTCTGTAAGAGGAAGTTAGTCCTTAGTAATGAATGTTTCAGAATCTTCTTTTATTTGGAAATCACTTAGCTATTCAATAAACTTCCATCACTTAGTTTAGCACAGCCCTAGAAATTCAGGTTACCACAATCTAGAGGATGTTTCAGACAGACATTTCTAAAGTATAATTATTCTTAAAAGTTTCTCTGAAAGCTCATATCTCTTTTACATTTTCTTTGAAGTTTTTTTTTTTTTTTTTTTCCTTTCCTAGAGGTACTTTCCTGGTTGACAAACTTGTAACAGATATAAAAATATAACATTTAACTCATAATAAATCTAGGGACAATGAAAATACTGTGCTTAATGAGTCTTAGACATATCTATATTAGATTACCAAACAAACATTAATACTCTATATTTAATATTGAATATTTCCCAGTTTACGTGAATCTGAAATTCATTTAGGTTAATTTCTCATCTAGTTAGAATTGTCTGATTTGTAAGCGCTTACTTTCCTTTAGGCCAATTAAATTAGAACTCATTTACAACTTCAGCAATATTATTAAAAAAAAAAAAAAGAGTGCAAAAAAAAAAAAAAAAAAAAGAGTGCACACTAAGACATATATAAATTCAGACAGACAGAGGGACAGAGACCTCATAGTTTCCTGCCTGAGATTTAAAACATCTCTTTGACCCTTTTTCGGTTCTTTGTTTGTTTGGCCTGATGTTCTGATTTGCCCAAGGCTAAGTGAGGTCTCAGGCAAAGTGGGCAGTGTATTTCAAGGGCTAGGAAAGGGTTAACTTCAAGCTTTTCCCTAGGCAGGCCTTTTAACAAGCTAGTTGGTTTTAAATGCATATGCAAAAAGAAAGGGTTTGCAGTTTCCAAGGGAAGGAAAATTTCATTTTAACCAGTTTTCTCCAGAGTCTAAAGAATATCAGGGTCATCCTGTGTCAAAAAGCCATCATTCATTTCTGTAGTTTTAGTTTAATAGCTAAAATATAGACCAAATAATGCTCAAATTGACTCTGATATCAGGGGCATTTCAGCTGATAAAAATTTGGGGCTGTCCCTCTGGTGGGAACTGAGGTCTTTGTCATGTGAGGAGAATCTGAAGGGTTAAGGGAATTTGCAAGAGTGGGGGAAGCTTGGTCCTTCCCAGCCCTGAGAAAAAGGAGTACTCAGAAGGGAATTCTTTAGGGTGTTCAGCAGTGGGGGAAGCTTGGTTCCCTCTCCACCTGAGAGATAAGCTTCCTTAGAAGGGGATTCTTTAGAATGATAGGACAGTTTTTGATCCTTCAGGCTTCTGAATATAGGAGAAAGACCCGGACCAAAGGGAACCTCAGAATCCTTTCCTAGAGATCATGTGGATATGAAAGGTCGAGTAGGGGTCATCTAGGAAATTGATGGAGAGAGACAGAGGGGGACAGGAGACAGGGAGGCAACAGAATGCAAGGAAATTCTAAATCTTTTCCCTTCCTTTGGCAAAACCTGGTGTGCCACTCAGAGGCCATTTCTGGGGGATTCCCCGCTTGTATAGGAGCCAGGCCTTTTGGAGGGTCAACATTTCCCAGTTTCTGAGAATGGAGGCAAGGGTTGAGTATGAGAGAGCGTCTGGGATGAAACAGAACCCACTCTTAGCCCTCCTACCATAGAATGGGCGAACTGAGAGTCACTGGCTGACAGAAAGGCGTCCCTTTTCCCCCAGTGGTCTCTCCGTGCGACTGACGGCACAAAATGGCCGAGCGGCCCAACAGTCGCGTCCAACAGTGAGACGAGACCTGTGAGAGCCCTGCAGCGAAGCCACCAGGTGACACGGGCAGAGAAAGACAGAGATTCCCGGGAGCAACCAGGTGACTCACCGATTCGTGATTCCCTGAAACGAGGAAGGCACTCTTGGGATAGCTCAGAGGCAACATCCAGGCTCCTGTAAATCAATCCAGACCAAAAGGGAAAGAAGTGAAAGTGACAGGGAAGAAGGCTGAGCAATCTGCCTTGCAATATATCCAGGAGGCGGTGGCCCGGGGACAATGGTCTCTGTTTTGCTTCAACCACTATGTGCCTGACATGGTGGGCGGAAGTTGTCTTGCTGGGGGAGGATGCCCTTGTGGCCTGATCCGCTCTGTGTCCCCCCCATCCTCACACGGGAGTCTTTCTGTGGCAGGCGCCCTAAAGGCTTTTATGTCTCTGACCTGCGCCCACACAATATTGGTTGGCACAGTCCTCACTTGCAAAAAAGACAAAGGAGAGACCCTCACCCATTCAATCGGCAGCTACTTTCAGTGCAGTGGGCAGTGAGGCCTTTGCAACACACCAGAGGGTAACCCTGGCCAGAGTTCCTCAGTTGCTGCCACAGCACTTACTCTTGGCAGAGGGTCCCTATGAGGAAGGAGGAACAAGGAGGTGGGGAAGAGACTCTAAGTCCCCAAACAAGCCACCAAAAATGTCATGGTCTGGGTGCGAGTTGGAAAAGAATTTCCAGACATGAGACAGTAAGGGTCTGGTTTTTTAGTTTCTGCATTCTAAGACCCTCCTTGGTTTTATCTGCTCTTCACTCCTTGGGTAACCACAACCTTGGCAGAAAGAATCATTTTAACTATTAAGTATATACTCTATATCTTTCTGATGCTTTTTAATCAGAGTCTTCCAAATACAAGAGAAATAACTAAAAATCAGTAAAGTTGCTCTTGTACCTTTTGGCACATATTTTAACAAACAGCCACTAATGGCNGTGTAAGAGGGTTCCCTTTTCTCCACACCCTCTCCAGCATTTATTGCTTGTAGACTTTTGGATAGCAGCCATCCTGACTGGTGTATAATGGTACCTCATTGTGGTTTTGATTTGCATTTCTCTGATAATGTAAACTCAGGTAATTTTGAATGGATTAATATGTACATAATGTGAGAGGATGATATTGTTTTATTTGCACTGAACTGTATTTTAATTTTAATACAGTTGAGCACAGATTAGGACTAATTAGATTCTTGTAAACATTTTGGAAAATACAAAACTGTGATGAGACTCTGTGATGTGAGCATGGAGTCTACTGGAAAAGATGAGACCTGGGCTTGGGATGAAAACCCCCACTCCCAAAACCCAGCATCTCTGCTAAACACACCTGAGTGTTCATCTTCCAAAGCAGAAAGAAAGTAAGAAGACATGGAGTTTACGCCATTAATTGTGAGAGTTTAGACACATCCCTCACTTATTTTTTCCAAGACACTTGTTCAAGTCAAGTGGATAAAACAAATTCATGGCATGGGAATCTCACAGAAACACCTAACCAGTGAACATGAGTCATGGGGCAAGAAGTCCATGGAGGAATGCATTATCACCGCACGGGTATTTGGCACTATATGGAAACTCTGACCTGAATCTATCATTAAAAATGTTAGTTCAGGAACTCTGTGATGACCCAGTGGCTAAGACCCTGAGCTTCCAATGCACAGAGCTCTGGTTCTTTCCCTCATCAGGAAACCAGATCCCACATGCTGTAGCTAAGAGTTTACATGTCACAACCAAAGAACCTGAAAATTACAAGGATGACTGAAGATCCTACCTGCCACAAGAAGACCCAGTGCAGCCAAATAAATATTTTAAAAATGTGTTGTAAGCAAATTTCACTTCATATATGTAAGCAAATTTCACTTCCCTGATCTGTAGCCTAACGTGGCAGTCCTTTAATGGACCGGAACCTGGTGGTCCGGAGTCGACAATAAGAAAGTAAAACACAGAAAGAGGCTGATATTCCCTGGTTTATGCAGAGAACCTATAAAGCCCTTGACACAGGGCTTGTACCACTCACGAAGGCACAGAGCATCCTCTCGAGGAAGTCTTGAAAGCCCGGGTGAGAGAGTGAGCTCGGCAGGTTTCCACGCTCCAGAGAATTAGCCTAGAGGGAGAGAGACTGAGAGAGAGAGAGAGAAAGAAAGACACAGGGGCCCAAGCTCTGATGGAACAAGGGCGCTTTAATGATCTTTGTGTGAGCATATATAGGCTGTTAAGGAATTTCTTTGACAATAATAAAGATCAGAAAACCAAATGTATAGTAACCATTATCAAGGAAACAAGGAATTAACATTGGTCATAAGGTCAGAAGAAAACCCGTATCTCAAGAGGGACGGTCCTGACTACGCAGATTTACTGAAGGGAAAGAGTTTACTGAAAGAAATGCATGCATGAGATTCATCTCATTATCTCAGTCCTGGGAGCAGGACTGAACTGGTGTTAGAGTATAATATGACTTTTACACAGCAATATTTTCTACCATAATCCTAAGCCAAAAAAAGATGAGAAATGACCCACAAACCATTTCAGAAACTATTCTGATCTGGAAAAGAAATGATAAAATAATAAGAACAACATTGGCATATTTATTTTTGAGTGCTGTATTTGTATGACACAGGATAAACTGTCTATCAAGGAAACAGGGAATATTTTTAAAAAGCATACTCTGACCCAAGAGTTCTTCAGTGGGACAAATGTGCCATTTCTTTTAGCAAGCTTAACTTTTTTCTTGGTATTGTTAACAAGCTTCTTTTTACTAGCAGTGTGCAAAATTCTGCTCCATGAATGACCATTTTGAATAGTAACCAAATACAATAGTCAGGTAAGTATTCATGCTTACTTTTGAACTTCAAGTGTTTTACACATTTTACAGTTCAAATATGATAGCATCCTCAGTAGCAACAATCATTTTAACTGTTTTGTATATACTAAATATCTTTCTGAGAGTTTTGACAGAGTCTTCCAATTATGTTGCTGTTCCACCTTTTTGCAAATATCTAGCAAATATTCCTTAAACAGCTTAAGTTTACTTCACTTTATGTACTCTAAACTTTAATAATACACACACGAACACATAGGGACAACTCTAAAGAAAGTTCATAGAAGTTTCTCTAACTGTAAAAATACAAGAAAAATAACTGATCAAATCATATGAACATTTCCATGCATACATATATTAAAATGGAACTATATATTCATTTCACTAAAATGAAACAATTGAAGGCCATGGAAAATATGTAAGAACAGTTTTCAAAGGTTAGAATCAATAAAAATCTTCATGAAATGATGATGGCTTTTAAATAAGCCCTAGGTTTCTCCCTGCACACACAGACGCACATATAAACACACTTAAGGTAAAAGCAACCTTCCATAAGTGACAGATCTTTTGGAAGAAACATTTTTAATCCACCTTTCCACCTTTCTTAAAAAAAAAAAAACTCATGTATTTCAGAATTTATGGTAAAACAAGCATTTACAAATTGCACATGAATGCATTCTAAGTGACATGAATCACATCTAACACTTTGCAACCCCATGACTGTAGCCATCCAGACTCCTCTGTCCATGGGATTTCCCAGGCAAGAATACTGGAGGGGGTTGCCATTTCCTTCTCCAGGGACCTTCCCAACCCAGGGATCAAACCCAGGGCTCCTGCATTGGCAGGTGGGTTCTTTACCGCTGAGCCACCTGAGTTCACTGAAAACAGCTCTTCCTCTTTAGTAAGAATGATCAGAAACACAATACGAGAAACAGTCCACACTTTATTAGCAATACACCATGATACCGACTTAGAACACATTTCCAGACCTACGTGAAGAAACTGGAAACCTTTACTGAAGCACATAAAGTCTGAAAACCACAAGTTTTACTTGGAAGATGTGGTGACATAAAGACTTCAGGGACTCCAAACTCAGAACAATTCAAACTCAAAACAAACATGGATATTTCAAGTATAAGTCTCAACTGTATTTAGGAGAGCCAACATAATTTTGAATTTAAAAATGAAAAAAAATGTAAATAGAGGGAAATTACAGATTTCTGTAATTACAATCTGTAAATCTGTAATTCTGCCAAATTACAGATGAAGTTATAACTGTATAGACTAGTAAAACTTCAAAATAAATGAAGCTAAATAGTTACAGGGTAGCCAAAGAAGCTCACCTAAAGAGAGACTTAGACTTTATTTTGAACAACAAAATAGAAGGTAAACACAACAAAATATTTTTTAATACTGCAACAGGTGAGGTATTCGAAAGTAACAACAAAAATCAGAGGGGGGGAAAAAAGTCAAAGGGCATAAAGGAAAGATTTAGGTTTCAGTGTTGTGTAATATAGAATTTAGGGGCTTGCCTGATGGTCCACTGGTGAGAAATCTCCCTGTCAGTGCAGAGGACAAGGGTTCCATCCCTGGTCAGGGAAGACCCCACAAGCCTCGGAGCAACTAAGCTAGTCTGCCACAACTGCTGAAGCCCACACCCTCCAGAGCCTGCCAGGGATTAATACAACGACTGAACCCGTGCCTTAGAGCCAGAGCTCCACAACAAGATAGTGGCCCCTCCTAATCACAACAGAGAAAGCCCAAGACCATCAGCGAAATCCCAGAATAGCCAAAACTAAATAAATACCAAAACAAAACAACAACAAAAAAAGAATTTGGCAGGCTTTGGTCCCCAGGTTCTAGAAGTTTGTTAACTACTCTTGGAATTTAAGTTTTTTGCTTTTTTTTTCTCTCGGAATTTCCTTAGTGACTGAAGTAGCTTTACTACTCTCCGTGGGCCCTGATAATTTATGCTAACAACATGACCTACAGTCGGCCCCTAGTTTAATAATGGGATGACTCAGGTTGTGAGGCTGAGCATTTCACAAAGACCAACGAAGTGACTAGAGGTCTGGGGCTTTGAGCAAGTGGGCTGATTAGCCCAACCTCTAAGGAGGGGAGAATGCTGAAGATGTTATCAATCCCACCTACGTAGCTAAACCCGAATAAAAGCTCGGGACTTAAAAGCTTGAGTGAGCTTCTCCGCCCGGCAATACTCTGTTTTCTGTCACACCGATATGCCAGGAGGGCAATGGGTCCCTTGGGATGATGACTATGGGTAGGTTCAAACAAACCCGTTCAGAAGTTAAGGAGCTTATCAAGTCCAAAGAAACAGCATTTCAGGAAAGAGAAACAGAACAAACAGGGGCTATGCCTCTTACCTGGGAACGAGTCATTTCTGACTCTGCTTTCCTTCTCCTCTGGTCTTCCTTCTCAGGTAAGATCAGTCTTGGGAAGCGACCCGAGTGTTGAAAATAGGCTGTTCAATACTTCGAAAACCACAGCGAGCTCCCTGCAACGCAGCCCCACACAGAGGGAGGATCTCAACAGGTACAAACCACAATCCTCCACGGCCACTGGCACAGCAGGGATTCTGGAACACAGAATCAAAGGAGGTGTTTTTAGTTTTATTCTTTTCTTCAGAACTCGCGGCCTTTCCTGTGAAAACCACGCGTTCTAGGCTGACCCTCCCCTTCAAACCTTAGGCGAGACCCTGACCAAACTCCATACAGAATAGAGCCTCCTTCACCTCTGCGTGGATCAGGGATCTAGGGGTTGGGCAATGCAGGACTTTAAGCAGCGGTCTCTACCAGTTAGAAGGCAGAACTGCCAGAGAAGGACATGGACTCTAGAACGATGTTAACAGGAAGCGGACGTGGGCCCCAGGGACCCGTCAGCTAAGCTAACGGACCTCAGACCTTCTCACGGCGATGCGAGGACACACTGGGACGGGAAAATGGGGGCGGTACCTTGAACGTCCACAGAGCCTCCCGAAACCCACGTGTGAAGGACAATAGACTGTGGGACGACAACATCCGGGTTTTAAACATACAAACTCACCTTAACTCTCTGTCGCTCATTCAAACTCAATTCCGTCTTGCCGGATACTGCGCACGCGCGGGCGGAAAATCCGGTACAGAGGAAGGTGAAAGCGCTACAGCCGTGGCCAACGAGAGGCGACGTAAGGGGGGAGGGTGGGACGAGGCCGGAAGCTCAGGTACGTAGGGGCGGGGCCAGAGGGGGCGGAGCCTTGCCTCCCCTCACCCCCGCCCCAGTCCGTTTTGGGTCTGTTGGTCTTTCTGTCCAGCTGTGCTTCCTTTCTCTGCCTTTTGATGCCTTTAAATCTCTTTGACTTCCTCGGGAGCAGAGCTGCTTTCTGCCTGTCCTAAGTTAGTGTTTCACACAACTTAAGGGAAAGAGAAGAATTTTGAGAGCTGCCTCTATGGGAAGCCGAGATGTTTTCAGCAAGTTGAAAAACGGGGAAAATTCAAAAGCCTTTTGTGTTAGTGTGTGAAGATGGGTGTATCCTCAGTGACGAAAAGTAGAACGTAATCACCTCAGCAGCAGCAGCAACAACAATTAACAGAGGCGTATGGATGTGAGAGTTGGACTATAAAGAATGCTGAGCACTGAAGAATTGATGCTTTTGAACTGTGGTGTTGAGAAGACTCTTGAGAGTCCCTTGGACTGCAAGGAGATCCAAGCAATCCATCCTAAAGGAGATCAGTCCTGGGTATTCATTGGAAGGACTGATGCTGAGGCTGAAACTCCAATACTTTGGCCACCTGATGCAAAGAACTGACTCATTGGAAAAGATCCTGATGCTGGGAAAGATTGAGGACAGGAGGAGAAGGGGACGACGAAGGATGTGATGGTTGGAATGGCATCACTGACTCGATGGACATAGGCTTGGGTGGACTCTGGGAGTTGGTGATGGACAGGGAGGCCTGGCATGCTGCAGTTCATGGGGTCGTGAAGAGTTGGACACGACTGAGCGACTGAACTGAATTGAACTCAATCTGTGTATGAACAGATTCTGGCAGGAGTAACAGTATGTCATTTCTGGGGTTATGTTATAAATGACAATGTGGGTTCCAGTCTCCCTATTTCTTTCTGGACTCACTTCCTAAGAGAAAAGCCAGCTGCCCTGTTGTAAGCAAGTCTCTGGTTACAATTACTGAGGTTTCCTCCCAATGTATCATCTGAGTGATTCAGTTCAGTTCAGTCTCTCAGTCGTGTCTGACTCTTTGGGACCCCATGAACTGCAGCACGCCAGTCCTCCCTGTTCATCACTAACTCCCGGAGTTGACTCAAACTCATCTCCACTGAGTCAGTGATGCCATCCAACGATCGCATCCTCTGTTGTCCCCTTCTGCTCCTGTCTTCAACCTTTCCCAATATCAGGGTCTTTTCCAAAGTCACTTCTTCACATCAGGTGGCCAAAGTGTTGGAGTTTCAGCTTCAGCATCAGTCCTTCCAATGAATATTCAGGACTGATTTCCCTTAGGATGGACTGGTTGGATCTCCTTGCTGTCCAAGGGACTCTCAGAATCTTCTCCAACACCACAGTTAAAAAGCATCAATTCTTCAGTGCTCAGTTTTCTTTTTTTTTTTTCTCATTTTATTTTATTTATTTATTTATTTATTTTTATTAGTTGGAGGCTAATCACTTTACAATATGTAGTGGTTTTTGTCATACATTGACATGAATCAGCCTCAGATTTCTTTATAGTCCAACTTTCAAATCCATACATGACTACTGGAAAAACCATACCTTTGAATACACGGACCTTTGTTAGCAAAGTAATATCTCTATGTTTTAATATGCTGTCTAGGTTGGTCATAACTTTTCTTCCAAGGAATAAACGTCTTTAAATTACATGGCTGCAGTCACCATCTTCAGTAATTTTGGAACCCGAAAAAATAAAATCTGTCACTGTCTCCATTGTTTCTCATGTATTTGCCGTGACGTGTTGGGACCAGATGCCATGATCTTAGATTTCTGAATGTTGAGTTTTAAGCCAACATTTTCACTCTTTTCTTTCAGTTTCATCAAGAGGCTCTTTAGCTCTTCTTTGCATTCTGCCTTAAAGGTTGTGTCATCTTCATATCTGAGATTATTGGTATTTCTCCCAGCAATCTTGATTCCAGCTTGTGCTTCATCCAGTCCAGCATGTCTCATGATGTACTCTGCATATGAGTTAAATAAGCAGGGTGACGCATGCTTAAGGTGGGGCAAGAGCAGTGCCAATAATAGGATCACACAAGCGCTTGCTGGAGCATGAAAGGTGACTCACAGCACGCCCCGAAGTGAGCATTCTGGGAGAAGCAATGCTCAGTGGCTTCTCTCCCAGTGGGGGCACACCAGTCCCCCCAGCCTCACACCGCAGATAGAAGCACAGCTAAGAAGCAGATCTGGGGCTCTAGTCCACCAACCAGGGAGCATGGACTCACCACAGAGAGGACAGTGAGAACCACAGAGCAATGGGGAAGCGCCACTCAACATCCAGGGCAGGCTCTGATCACAGTAACACAGTCAAAGCCCAGATCAAGGGAACAAGGACACACACCTCTGGATCAACCTCACCCACAAAGTTGCAGACACCAGAAAGAAGACGAACTAGGTTCTTGTAGCCTTCAAAACAGAGATCACAGACAGAAAACTGGACAAAATGAGATGGCAAAGAAATAGGTTATAGAGAGTGAAGCAACATCAAACCCTGCATGAACCACTAAATAAAGAGAAGGTAGTCAACTTAATGATTACTTCTTGCTTTCATCATCTTAAGTAGAGACACCAGACGTTTTCACAAATCCTAGGTGCCTGATAATTCTTTAATCCACTTCTTTTCACACATGTGTCTGAGAATGTTCTATTAGATGTTTGAATCTAAAATTCATAAATGATAGTGACAGAAAACTAATCAGAAACTGAGGACACATAAGACAGTGTCCGAGGAAATGGATTACAAATGAGATAAACTTTACAAAGTGCTAGTTCTTAAGAAATTATATAAGAAGAGAGCCTTTTAAAAATATGGTTGAAACACAGGGAAGTCTACTCATAGCTCTGTGGAGACCAAAGTAGGACAGATATCAATAGAATGGGGAAGATTTGAGATCTCTTCAAGAAAGTTGATATACCAAGGGAATTTTTCATGCAAACATGAGCTCAATAAAGGACAGAAATGGTATGGCTCTAAAAGAAGTGGAAAGTATTAAGAAAAAGGGACAGGGATACACAGAAGAGATATACAGAAATGATCTTAATGACCAATATAACTAGGATGGTATGACCACTCACCTAGAGACAGACACCCTGGAGCCTGAAGTCAAGTGGGTCATGGGAAGGATCACTGTGAATAAAGCTAGTGGAGGTGATAGAATTCCAGTTAAGCTATTTCAAGTCCTAAATGATGATGTTGCTAAAGTGCTGCACTCAACATGCCAGCTAATTTGGAAAACTCAGCATTGGCCACAGGAATGGAAAATGTCAGTTTTCATTCTAATCCCAAAGAAAGGCAATGCCAAAGAATGATCAAGCTACCACACAATTGCACTCATTTCACATACTGCCAAAGTAAGGTTCAATATTCTCCAAACATGTCTTCAACAGTATGTGAACCAAGAACTTCCAGATGTTCAAACTGGATTTAGAAAGGCAGAGGAACCAGAGATTGAATTGCCAACATCTACTGAATCATAGAAACAGCAAGAGAGTTCCAGAAAAACATCTACTTATGCTTTATTGACTACGCCACAGACTTTGATGGTGTGAATCAAAACAAAGTGTGGCAAATTCTTAATGAGAGGGGGATACCAGATCACCTTACCCACCTCCTGAGAAATTTGTATGCAAGTCAAGAAGAAGCAGTACTGGACATGGAACAACAGCCTAGTTCCAAATTCGGAAAGGAATGTCAAGAGTGCCTATTGTCACACTGTTTATTTAACTTATATGCAGAGTACATCATGCAGGAGACTTCAGTTCTATCCCTGGGTTGGGAAGATCCCCTGGAGAAGGGAATGGCTACCCACTCCAGTATTCTGGCCTAAAGAATTCCATGGATCGTATAGTCCATAGGGTCACAAAGAGTTGGTCAGAACGGAGTGACTTTTACTTTCACTTTTCATCATGTGAAATGTCGGGCTTGAGGAAGCACAAACTGGAATCAAGACTGCAGGGAGAAATATCAATAACCTCAGATATACAGATGACTCCACCCTAATGGCAGAAAGCAAAGAGGAACTGAAGAGTCTCTTGATGAAACTGAAAGAGAGGAGTGAAAAAGTTGACTTCAACCTCAGCATTCAGAAAACTAAGATCATGGCATCCAGTCCCATCAGTTCATGGCAAAGAGATGGGGAAACAATCGAAACAGTCACAGACTTTATCTTCTTGGGCTCCAAAATCACTGCAGATCTTGACTTCAACCATGAGAGTAAAAAACGCTTGCTCCTTGGAAGGAAAGATATGGGCAATGTAGACAGCATAATGAAAAATAGAGACATTACTTTGCAGACAAATGTCTGTCTAGTCAAAGGTATGGTTTTTCCAGCAGTCATGTATGGATGTGAGAGTTGAACCATAAAGAAGCCTGAATGTTGAAGAATTGATGCTTTTGAACTGTGGTGTTGGAGAAGACTCTTGAGTGTCTTTTAGACTGCAAAGAGATCACACCACTCCATCCTAAAGCAAATCAGCCCTGAATATTCATTGGAAGGACTGATGCTGAAGCTGAAGTGCCAATACTTTGACCATCTGATGTGAAGAACTAATGCATTGGCAAACATCTTGATGCTGGGTCAGACTGAGGGCAGGAGGAGAAGGGGACGAGAGGATGAGGTGGTTGGATGTCATCATTGACTCAATGGACATGAGTTTGAGCAGGCTCTGGGAGTTGGTGATGGACAGGGAAGCCTGGCGTGCTGTAGTCCATGGCGTCCCAAAGAATTGGACATGACTGAGCAACTCAACTGAACTGACTGATAGGTGTAATTGATTCTCTTTGCAGTACAGTGGTACAAAATTGTAAAACAGCTATATTCCAAATAGAACTTTTTAAATGGATATCTTTATATAATCTAGAAATTGTTATAGCTTGAATCAGTTAATAATATGGGGGGAAATGTGCTAAGCATTTATGCCAGTTTATTTTAAAATTCTATGAGGTAATTCAATATATTAAATATTTTAGCATTTTAGAATTAGGGCAAATACACTTAAAATATTTAATATAAGATCATATAAGGAAAAAAGAAACTTTGAAGTCAACCTGAGATGAGCATTCTTTCATTTTGGGGAGGTTTTGCTTTCTGCAGTGACAAAAGTACTTGAGTTTGAAATTTATTTAGAAGGTCCTATCTCTAGTTCTCAGTGGATATGAAGTTAAAAATCAGAAAACAAAAACCTGTCCCCAGTATTCTTAAAAATTCAGCAGTTTGTCTACCACTTCACTCACATATTTTTGTCTAGAGGTAGAAAGAAACTTTAAAAGGACTGGCATACCGTTACTCAAAATTGGCACAGTTTTTCTAGGACCCCCAAGAAATGGAAGAGCAACCAATGAATGCAGTTTGTCACAAGCCAAGAGGAGACTTTTAGTTCACACTGTGATGAAGAAAG